AATCAATGATGAGTGGGCAAGTGAGGGGCTGCTAAGAGTGGTTTTGCACTGGGAGATGAGTACTTGCTGCATCAAAGCTCAAAAACCATCAGATGAGCTCTTGCAGGATCAAGCCAAGTGAGATGGTGTCTTTTATGTAGAAAAAAACCATATCTTTTCACAGAAGAGTTGTTTATTACATCTGAGATCTCAGCTGCATCCCATAAACAGAGAGTTTCCAGTATGTCAGAAGTTTATGCCCTAAATGTAAGTACCTTTGTTTAATGCAGTGAGTCTAAGACATAGCATATAAAATAAAGGTAAAATACTAAGAAGAAAAATTATTTGTTTATGATCACGAGGTAGCTGAACTTTAAAGCAAAATCATGAGCAGCTCCATTTCTCATTCATTGTGCTCTCTGGCAGTTTACAAGGGAGTAAATCGATAACAGCTTTAATATGACTGAAAAGATTATCTACCCACTGAGTTGAGTACAGGGTTTCTAAAAAGGCTGAAGTCCTCATTTAGGTATGACCTTGAGTTATCAATGGACATTAGGACACATCTACATGCCTTACTTCAGTTCAAATAGGACTGTGGCCCTCTGCTGCACCCAGGACTGACAGGATGCTGTGTGGGAAGACACAGACACCAAGTCACACAGCTTTCGTATGACATAGGCATCTCTGGCTCCTCTAGAATGGTGATGTTCTTTTACACAACACTAACCAGAATTAATTTTTTACAATGAAATATTGGAAACAACTTCTTGGCCAAGCTGCCAGGTATTTTAAGCACCATGAAGGTTAAGAAAGAGAAAAACAACCAGCTGAAAACAAGAGCTGAGTTCAACAGGCACAAAAATTTCCCTGCTAGTAATGTGCCTTGGAAATTTTCCAGCAGTAGAATCTAGTGTTGGATTTCTGTAGCCAGAGACAGCTTTGTCTTTTTCATATGTATCAATCTACTTAATATTTAATCCTAATATGACATGGCATGGAGTAGTGGTTCTAAAAATGAACTCCAGAAATCATCTGAGCTCAAATTCTGCCTGTCCTACATGTTTGCATTAGTCGAAGTATCTTGAGAAAAGAAAATTTTTTTTTTCTGGAAGTTTGCATCTGTCCAGGGATTTGAAATGTTTAATAAGGCACTGTGCAGAGGTTACATGTGAGATGGTCAAAACTGCCAGACAAACCTAATCTTAGGATGGCATGTCACTTCCTGTGTATGTGGTCTCAATGGGAGTGCCTTAAAAATAATAATTTTTCCTAAATTAAAATCTAAGTCTCAGTCATTTCATGATATATTTAATCATCCTTTTTTTCACCTTGCCAGCAAAGTTTACTGAGAGTTCAGCTGTGAAAATAGATCCTTTCCCTTTGTCACTTTCCATGTTTGCTTAAATGTGTAACTATGAGCCTGTCGAACCATGATGAAGTGGTGTGTAATGGCAGCAAATTTTAAAAATCCATCCATTTCCCCAACTCAGTGACATGTGCAATTTCCACTGCAGTGACCTACTTAACAGAGCTACAATCAAGGACGAGCACCAGGGCAAAATCATTTACTCTGGGAACAGACCTTGCTGTTTCTCCCCTAGCTCCATTCCTGGTGCTTCCCCAAATCAAATAAGACAGCTTATACTTCCAAAGCAGATCTCACAGTATTTAATTTTCTCCTTAAAACCCCTATTACATGCTTATAGATCAGCATCTGCACTTCCCATTAGCTTCCAAACCTTGTGCTTTCCACATATGGCTTGAAATCACAAAGCAGATATAGGGATCGCAGCAAGTAATTAAACCAAAAAATTACACTTTGTCCATCATTTTCCTCCCCTCGTGGTCATTCTTGGGTCATGGTTTTTCAGTGCAATGGATTGCCTGGTAAACAGCTTCCTCAATTTCCCACTAGGTGACATCAACGTACATGGCACTGTCAATACTGCTGGGAGGGGAATCAGAGGTGTTCTCCAAATCACCTCCCAGGCATGTGATTTTTTAAAAAGTGATCTCTCACCTTGTGTTCACATTTGAAACAAATCCCAGCTTTCTACTTTCACTCCCTCAGGTTTCATCCAAGCCACAGACCTGAAGGATAACACCATCACTCTCCATTTGGTTTAAAACACAAAGGAGGCTTTCACCTTATCATAAAACAAGTGGGAGGGGTGGGAAATGACCTTAAAAGTACAGTCCTGCTAGAAGATTTGCAAGAATGAAGTGCATTTATAAATATTTTAACAGTTTGAATTTGGTTTAGGTGTGTCTTACAGATCATTAAATAATCACTAAGTCATGAAGATTAGTTGCCCACCTAAAGTTTCTTCATGATTTAGAAAAATACTGCAGTTAGAAAAAAAACAAATAAAGGAAAAAAACCCCTGTGTGTATCTTCATTATCTTCATTTTGTACAAGAAAGTGCAATTCTAGTGGGGCCACTGAACCTAGAGCATCACAGAACCATCAAGCTTGTAAGAGACCTTCAAGATTATCTAGTCCAACCTGCAACCCAGCACTACCATCATTACCCCAAAACCATATCCCTAAACACTTAACATCATTAACACTTAACATCATTAACAGTATGTTCCTATACTGTTATTTGTCCTAGAAGGATCATCTACCCCATTACAAAAAATAACCCCAAACAGATAAGAATATTGAAGCATTTACTTTTACCAATCTTGATGCTGAACTTCAGTTCATCTTAATTAACTTTCCTATTAAACATCTCTTTTCTGGATCTTAGCGCCCTTTCTCTTGTCTTTGATGGGCCAAAATCAGACCTGAGGTATCGAGGATGGAAAGCTAATTTTTTAGCTAATAAATGTATGAGATTTTCTTAGGAATAGCTAAAGAATGAATAATTATATTTATCAACAGATAAAATTTGTTTGTAAAGACACATAAATATTAGGTAATCTTCTATTGTTATTTGCTTTTACTCGTGCTATATCCTAATCAGTATTGTTTATTTATAATTCTGCAAGCAAACTTCTTCATTATGCCCTCTGTACACTCTAATGAAAGAACACATGTGAGTGCTGCAAGACTTTCACATGAACTATGCACAGTTAATAACTACCTGCATTTAGGTAGTTATTAAGTATCAGCTTCCCAGGATACCCCATTGACAGCACCAACATCACTCAGAGGAGCTGAGGTCCCCTTTGACATTCCAAGTTTTGCTGTTCTGTTTGCTTGTGTGTTCCTTGATAATCTAATCAATTTTAAAAATCACAGCAGAAATTATCACATGAAAACAGGTATCACAATAGCACAGAAATCTGCACTCCTGCCATGCATCCAATTCATGTAGATCTGACTTTGAAGAATTGTTCCACAAGCAGAACACCCTGGCAGAAACTAACCCATTTGCAGGTTTAATTCCATGGTCAGTGTGATGGTAACTCACATGTATTCAGGCAGAAGCCAGCAGGCTCAAAAGGGCACCTTTAACATACCTTTTTGTCTAAGCCCTTGAACACCTACCTCTTTTTCTCCCTCTCTTCAAATGTTATTCCTCCCTCCCACTGGTAAATAATAAGAAGAAAGCTCAAAGTATGGAGAAAAGAAACAGTCCTGGCTTCTTTCTGCCTGAGAAAACTACTTACAGAAATACTGGAATATATAAAACACACAAAAATGGAAATGAAACCTGGAAGAAGACGTCATTCTGCTCAGCACAGAATGATAACAAACCTACCAAAACAACAAACCTACCAAACTGAAAGCAACCTACCAAAACAAGGTACTCTTGACCATAAAGTCTATTTTTGGATGGCCAAAGTGCTCATATGTTACAAGCATTCCTAACTCCTTAGACTTCACTTTGGGCAAAGCAGCATTTTCCCAGAGGAAGCTGACAGGATGAGTTAATGATCATGAGTGGAGCAGACATATGAGGAAAGGACAGGTACCAGAGACACACCATTGGAAGTAGCAAAAAGAGTTTAAAATTCAGGTAAAGAACATGTGTTTGCATTCAGCACCTGATTCCACATCAATAGCTGTTGGGAGCACTTCTTGGGTCAAGGGGCCTACACAAGACATGCTGCAACCCAGGGTTGGAGAAGAGCCAGGAATGCCTTTGTCCTGTCCTTGTGGCCTGTAGGCACCAAAGCAAGGATGTAGAGCAAGAGGGAGCTGTGCCAAGTCCCCTGGTCTGTGTTGGATAAGGATCACACCTAGATATGCGCCCACAGGCCAGTTCATGCTTTAGTGGATCTTTTTATGAATGTAGGAATAAATGAAGAAAGGGTCATTGCTTGGTGATGCCACAGGCCTCACCTTTGGAGGGATGAAGGCTGCCCTCTGACTGTTCATTGCCCTTTATCTTCTTTTAATAATTAAAAAAAAAAATCCAATTACAACACTTACATCTAGCAGTGCAAAAGGTGGTTGCAAAAACATTTTGTCTGGACAGGAGGACAACACTGAATACTTTTCCCATCACTTCTGGCAAATCTATTCCTGCAGCTTAACTTTCTACTGAAGCTGCAAGCCAAATATTTTGCTTTGCAGAACAGAAATCATCTGATGATAAGAACTCACTATCTGGGACATGAGTAATTCATATTATAGATTGAGAGATAATTAAACATGGTAAATATAGTACTTTCAGGAGACTTTGCTCATAACAGAAACCACACTGAGGGACCTGCAGTTCAGCAATGGCACAGATTTTCCTGAAAAAGAGGGAAGTATTATATATGTTCATACACTTAAACTCTGTCCAGTGGCTTGCCTTTTTTTAGATTCCATTTTTAGCTCTTAGGAAAAAAATAATTTTGAAGAATGAGATATGTTAGGAAATATTTATTACATCTAAGCTACTCTTTCATAAAGTCATTTTTTAAAATGTTTTAAACTGTGCAGATCACTTGTGCTTGACCATAACAAGGCAATAAAAGTATCCTTTTGTTCACCACAGAAGAGCATTTAGCTCCCTAATCATGTTGCTTAGTGCATCAGTGCTAAAAAGAATAGCAAAGAATCATCATTGAACTCTTACCAAAGCAGGAATTGACAAAGCCATACCACCTACAAGCATGGTCCCCTCCGATCCATTTGCCACGGATGTTGGATGCAAAACTGAGGGTAGTGCCCGAGATGCACACTAACATGTCACTGACACTGATGTTCAGGAGAAGCATGTTGACTGGGTTACGCAGGGTTTTAAACTTGCAGAAGAGGATGAGGACAATCAGGTTATTCAAGAAACCAAAAAACAAGATTAATCCAAGAAAAACAGCCACTACTGTGTGCCCACTTCGTGAGAGTCCAGCCCTTGGCTCAAGAGGATGTGCAGGTGCACCAAAGCTCAGGTTATACATCCAAGTGTGGTTCATTTCGGACTTTGCCATGGATCAGTGAGGGCAGAGATGCTGGGTGCCCTTTGCTGAAGCAGTTTCACAGAAGTCATTCCATCACAGATTAAATCCTCTCAGGAGCCTTGTCATCTTTGCTCAGATGAGGCATCTCTTAGATGGTTATGCAGGTGTCAAACACTGTATTGCAGCACAGGACTATTTTCCTGCACTGTGTCTTTCCAGGGGTCTGCTCTGCAGTAACTCCAGGGCAACAGAAGTGAAAAATCACCTCAAATTCATCTTTCTTGCTTAAACCTAGGATAATATTAGGTGATCTTTTTTAATGTTCAAAATGGAAGGTATCTTAAAAAGATGCTTCAGCATGGTCTCCTCCTTCAGAGCAAAGGACAACCCTATCAATGGCAGCTACCCTCCTTTCCTCTGACAATGGGTGTCCTTCTGAAAACACAGAAAAAACAAATAGTTAAAACCAAACAACTCTTTCCACACAAAAACCAAAAAATAAGTGCATCATTTATTAACAGCTCCTCCTGTTTTGAACTGTAACAAATATCTCTCATTTTCAGTTTTTACTCTGATTTTTAACAGAAACATCCGTTTGTTTACATTTCCTTGGACGTTTCAAGCAATTTTTCCCTAGCTCACAGTTTAGTATGGAGAAGGTCGTTTGCACCTTCCTAGCAAAGTTCCTCATGTGAGCAAATGCATGCTGAAACTTATCTTTTGCATCAGCTTCCCAGAGGAAGAACTCTGTCTTCCTCCACATTAAGTCAATCTACACCAAGAGAAGTTTCACTTTTGGCTTGACTTTAATTAAAATGATGACAAATTTAGGAGAAGGTATTTCTTTACCCAGAAAGAAAAATATCAAATGCCATCCCTCAAGCTCTCATGTGCACGCAAAGGTCTGCAGATCTGTGATAACAATATCTCTCCTCCCACAATTACCAGTGAACAGATGTCTTTATTATTTACAAAGCAGACACCCAAAGGCTCACATCTCTCCTATCACAGGCATAAATTTTACCCACATGGAGTGAACACATTGCTTGTGTGCTTTGTGAAACAATAGTGTTTAGTGTGGATTCACAATTACATAGCCTACCTTCTTTGTGGTTGCAGGCAGATCCTGCACAGAATTATATATATATATGAATTTCCACTCCTCAGTGCAAAATGCATGATACCGATAGCTCGCTGGACTAAAAAAATTTGAAAGCTTCTCTTTCATGTGTCATGTACTCCTAGAATAATTGCACACCTGTTAAAATGGAGCATCTCCAATATTACTCCTAACTGCTGTTTCCTGGAAATTGTGCTGTAGAAAAACATGTATTTAGCAACTGGAAAATTGTGAGTTCAGTTTACTGAAGATTCAGAAGTTGCTTGCTTTTTTCTTTTATATCTTGGTGTCATGATAATAATTTAGAATAAGTATTTTGTCTATTTCTCTACTTTCACAAATTCACTGTGCTAAATGTTACAGTGATTTTAAAGTCTAACATATACAAATTGTCTTAAGGATTTTTTCTTGTGAGTAAATTATGTACACTTCACAGATCTTCTACTGTTTGGTCACTGAGAATCTGAAACACTGATGCTTTCTGATTTTTTCCTCCCCCTTTAGGAGGTACATGATAATTTTTGTTGGAAAGGGTCCCAGGTAGCATATCTAAGAGAAAGAACTTTTTAAGTCCTCTTCCTGCAAACTAACTGGGCCTAACCATCAATATACTCTAAATTGTATACAGTGTTTAAAAGAACAGAGTGAAAATTTAGTGGAACAAAAACCAAATCTTAAAAATACTCTTCTGAGCATTTCTCCCATGCAAACAGGCTGAGATAGTTGGGGCTGTTCAGCCTGGAGAAGAGAAAGCTCTGGAGAGACCTCATTGCAGCCTTTCAGTACTTAAAGGGGATTTTAGAAAAATGGGGAGAAACTTCTTAGCAGAGCCTGTAGCAAAGGGGTACGGGTTTAAAACTGGTTAATTCAGGGTCAATAATGAAGTTTTTTATGGCAAGGTGAGGTGAAACACTGGAACAGGTTGCGCAGAGCTAGATGCTCATCCCTGGAAGTGTTGAAGGTGAGGCTGGACAGGGCTCTGAACAACCTGATTGAGTTGATGTCCTTGTTTATTGTAGGAGGGTTATACTAGATGACCTTTAAATGTCTGTTCCAACACAAATTACCCCATGATTAAAAATTCAGCTCAAAATATAAATAATAAATAGATCTATTATACAGTCATCCTGCATTCTTAAAAACATATCAAGAGTTCATATTTTTAGTGCTTGCAAAAGGACATTCACTCCTGGATGGGACTCAGCTGATTACAATTGAGCAGTGTGACACCAGGTGTGCAGGTCCAGCCCAGTGTGCAGGTCATGTCTCCGTGGCCATCACTCACACAGCTTTAGCTGGCCAAGTTCTGCCCTGGTGTGTTGGGAAATTATACTTTAATGCACAGGCAAGATGAGCAGGTCCTGAAAGTTCAGTGTAAGACACATTTTAAAACAATATTACTTGATATCAAAATATGACAAACACGATGCATAAAGATGAGCTTCAAAAAGTTTTGGTGAATTTAAGAGACAAAGGTCTGCAGAGGAAGACATCTGAAGATCTGGGCTATGTATGAGTAAGTCTTGTTTTAGGAGCTCATGTATTAAGTGCTACGTTTTTTACACTTATGGATGAGGTAAAAACTAAATTCAGATTTCAAAAAAGCTCTAAACTCCCATAACTAATCCCTTGAAGAATGGGTCCAAGTTTACCTAATGTTAGCATTTAACTGAAAAATACACATTATTGTTGAAAAACACTTGTAGATGAGCTTTGTGCTCAAAGCTTTTGTGTTCATTTGATTTTCTTTTTTTTTCTTTTTTCTCCTCCAGAGAGATAGCTTGGTTTAATAGAGGTTACTCTGGAACTCTATAAACCCTGTCTTACAGGTGACACTCTGCATTCCCTAGGGCTCCATGACCTAGGACAGCCTGAACCCTCCCAGTTCTTAGCAGGAAGCTAGGAGCTTGCAGAATTGCCAATTCTGCTTCTCAAAAAATGTTTAAAAACCCCAAAACAATAAAACCTACAATACCATCCAAGGCAAGCAAATGAGCATCCAGTTTGTCGCCTTGAATTTGTCAGAGTTGACAGGGAATGGGAAACATACCCAAAGTGATACAAAACATATGGCCAGGTGAAATGGGCCAAAAGTTTGTTTAATGTCACCACCAATTAAATCCTGCATCTGTTGACTGGTTCTGACAGTAAAAGTCTAAAGATGCAGCAAAACAGACACCCATCACTGCTTGTATTTTCTCTGAAGTAGTCTGTTGGAAAAAAATAAGGTTTCAGAAGATGTTAGATCAGCTTCTGGAAGCACAGGCTTTAATACTGAGAATGAGAGGCTTCTTTTCACACTTGACACCATGCATTAGTTTGAGCAGTGAAGCTGGTTTGTTTCCTTTCTCACTTTTCTACCAAATAACTTATTGAACACATTAGCTTCACGGGTTTCCAGCTGGGAGATTCTTTACCATCTTCTCTTGCAACATTGTGCAACATGCCAAAGATCATGCTTAATTCACTTTAAATATTTAAAATCTGAAGAAAAGACATAAAATAAATAAAATCAAACTTCATATTACTAAAAAAAAACTTATCCTTTTCCATCATATCTACATTGTTCTCTTGGGGTATAAAAGAGCTATAAAAAGCCCTCTTATGTTTACATATTCAGACAATCTAAATCAACTCGTTGCTCACTTCATACAAAATCAATTTTAAAATAGCTGTTTTCCTTCATTTAAGAACTTGTATTTCTAATGAAAAGTTAAATTAAAAAACAAACAGACAAAAAACATCCAAACAAACCCCTCTACATAACATTTCAAAGACAATCCCAGATGAAATTTTATGAAGGAAGAATCACTTTTTTGACCTGCTAACAGAATTATGACAGCAATAGTGTATTTTTAAGTTGACATACATTTAACCTTGTGTTCCAGATGAGAAACTGAATTGTTTTTAACAGAAAACATCCAAAACCATAGGTATCATCTGAAACAATTGTTTTAAAACACAGCTGAAAGATGGATCTTCACGGGACTTCACAACACTGAAGTCAGAATTCCCATCTGTTCTGGATTATTTTTCCATGCTCCAAGCCATGCTGCAAGATTTCAAGAGATCCAGAGAGAACTTTAGAGCTAAGCTAGAAGACTGAGAGGAAGTTCTATGGTTCAGAAGTTTGGGTATCTCCCAGCTCCCAAAGCCTCCTGTCTGCGCAAGAATCTCTCGTATGCAGATCACCAGATTAACTTTCAGCAGTTGACGTTCACGACAGAGACAGACATGGAAATGAGAACAACGTAAGTACAGAACACATGTAGTGATGAAGTTACACGTTTGAATGCTGTACTGTTTACTCAAGGGGAAAATCTAAGTGTGGCAAACCCATGCTTTTGAAAAAAAAAAGCTACTATCATTTAAAATATTCAAAGTTAAGGCAACCCCTCTTACGCAAGAAGAGGAAGTTTATGCACAGAAATGTCTGCGGTACGAGTACATGAGACAGACCCGCTCCTGAGCTGGGCTGAAGCCATCAGAGCCCGAGCCGGGACGGCGGTGGCGGCAGCGAGGACTGAAGACACCTCCCGAGTGCCCGGGCTCACCCCAGGCTTCTAAACACCGCACCAAGCAAAAGCCTCTCCAGCCGACCTCCGCGTCCTTCACAAACATTTTACACTTCTTTGGGAGGGGAGTGGAGAATGGCACAGTACGCTGGGAGAAGAACCCACCTGTATCTTTCATCCACAGCAACCCAAAGGGAAAACGCGCACCCAAGCGTGCGGCAAACGCGTCCCGAGCGGC